CGATCTTCCCTATCCCTGCCCCTACCCCTACCCCTACCCCCACCCCCACTCCCACCTCTACCCGTACGCCATTCATTCCCACCCGCCCCTGGCAGCCAGGCCTGGACCCCAGCCAGGCCCTGGCTGTCATTCAGAGGGAGGTGTCTCTGATCCATGGTGATGAGGACCTGCATCCCCCACCTCCCACTGAGGGCCCCCACGGGCAGGAGGCCACTGCAGGGAGCCCGGCTGTTGGGGTGCTGCCCAACAGGATGGAGGTGGGGCTTTGGGCAGCAGAGGGGGCCAAACCTGAGGAAGCAGTCCCTCCCATGCCCCTTATGCGCTCCAAGGCCCCTGTGAAAAGGGTCACGTGGAACCTGCGCGAGGAGACCAGCGGCACCCCTGCCTCAGACCAAGTGCCCCGTGAGCCCTGTCTTCCGTTGCCCAGCTTAGGTGGGGGTAGGGGATGGGCACTGCCTCAAGTCTGAGGCTGCTGCTGGGAAGTGCTGACACCCACCCCTGTTCCTCTGTCCTCCAGTGGGACCAGCGAACAGGCCACAGCAGCCCAAGGAAGTGCCCTGGGGAGCAGAAGGTGCGGGTCCTGTAGCAGCTGCCTTCTGCCAGGTGCCTCCCTTCTCCGAGCCACTGCTTCCCGGCCAGCCTCTCCCTGAGCCCGTGTTCCCCGACATAGACGCCTCTCAGGTGGGTGTTCAGCGCATAGCCCAGCTGAAATCGTTTTGGTCCATCCGGGTGGGCAGCTGTCTCCAACTCTCTGCCTGTTAGCAGGTTTATAGCCCCACTCTGCCTGTGGCCCTGCCCCTGCCCTCGAGCGATCCACCCTATGCACCCGCCAGCCAGCCCGCCATCCAGTTTCACGTGCAGGGCAGCCTCCCCCTGGCAGGCTGTGGGGGGCCCCAGGGCTTGGCCCCAGTGCCGACCACCCTGACCACCGCCTCGGAGCCGGCTGTCCCTGTCCCAGCAATCAACAACAGCGAGGAGAAAGGCACTGCTCCCAAGCCTGCTGGGGAGAAGGTCAAGAACGAGGAGGTGAGCCCTCTCACAGGGGCCAGTGGCACTGAGGGTGGGGTTGGGGGGTGGCCTGGGCGTCATCGCCCTGTCCTTGTCTGCAGTACCTGAAGAAGCTGCACGTGCAGGAGCGGGCAGTGGAGGAGGTGAAACTGGCCATCAAGCCTTTCTACCAGAAGCGGGAGATCACCAAGGAGGAGTACAAGGACATTCTGCGCAAGGCCGTGCAGAAGGTGGTGCCTCAGGCTCGGGCTCGGGCTCTGCTACTGGATAGAGGTCCTGGCAGGGACCCAGGCCACCTTGACCCTTCTTAGCTGAGCAGGGTGTGTGGGGAGAGTATGTGCAGTGCCCAGAAAGGGGTCGCGTGGCTGACAGGCAGGTCTGCCTGGCCCTGCCTCTCTGAGCAAGACTTCCCTGCACTGGGGCCTCCACAACCCTGTGGGCAGGGAGGCGGTCCCCTTGGTGGGTGGCTCAGTCCTGGTGACAAGACGTGTCTTTCCCAGATCTGCCACAGCAAGAGTGGAGAGATCAACCCCCTGAAGGTGGCGAACCTGGTGAGAGCCTACGTGGACAAGTACCGGCACATGCGCAGGCACAAGAAAGCTGGCCCAGAGGAGGGCCTGCCCGCCCAGGAGGTGGAGGGCTGAGCCCAGGACTGGACTTTTTATATGTACATGAGAGACACTGTTTTCATTGTGTTCTAATTTATCAAAACATATGATCTTTAGAAACTTCTGTTGACTCCTTCTTGAAAGAGCCAGAGGGGTCTCTGAAGAGGGGGCAGGAAGGGGTCTTCCTGACCCCTCAGGTGTGCACACCTGTGTTGGCCTCCTATGAGGCAGGACCCCAGCCACCTTAGGCTGGGCTGTCCCAGGGGGTGGGTGGAGCTGACTTGGAAAAACGCTGGGCTTGACTGCTTCCCAGTTGAGCAGAGATGAGGGCTGTGCGCCCCCTCCCTCTCTTCCCCTCCCCGCAGCTCCATGGTGGTCAGCCCACCTTCAGCTGTCCTGGCCCCAAACTCCAAACCAAGCTCGCTGCCGGGAGTCTGTCCCCAGTCCTAGGGCCCTGTGAGACCAGGTGGAACTGCCCCAGACTAAGTCTTTACAAGAGTAGAACCCCTTACCCCTCCCCTGGTTCAAACTGCTGCGATAGCAGCCCAGCGTGGGGACCGCTACTCCACCAGGGGCAGCAGCCCTGGCCAGTTCCCTATTAAACCACCACCATTGACTATCAGGGCTGCTTTTATTTGGGAGTGGGGGTACAGCCTACGACAGCTGCCTGAAGTCCATGAGGAAGCGGTCAATGTCATCATACAGGCTGTTGGAGCTGGACAGGCACAGGCCGAGGCTGCTGCTGTCCAGGGAGGACGCACCTTCAAGCTGTGCACCCTCGTGGTAGGCCCTGCACAGCCACGGCTCCAGCTACGGGGGTGGGTGGGTAGATGGTCAGCCAGGCCTCGGAGCAGGGAGACAGGAGAGGGCTGGGGCCAGGCGGGGGCAAGGACTGGTGGCGGGGGATGGGGGGTGGAGTGGGGAAGGGAGCCGTCAGTCCTGGAGCAAGAAGGTGGCAGAGGGGAAGGAGGCAGCCAGGCTCCGGGCTGGGACTGGGCAGCAGGACATATGCCCCGAGCTCACCTTCACTAAGACTAGGCTCTTCTCCTTGGGCCTCCTGGCAGACAGGTCCTGCCCGAAGGCCAGGTAGATGGTGTAGTTGGGAGAGCCCTGGCGCCGCCGCTCGCGGAACTCCACCAGCTCTGTGAGAAGGGGCCCAGTGAGCAACAGCGCCTGGGCGCTCAAGTACACGGGGGTGGGGGTGGAATGGGGTCCCTGAGCTGCAGTGCTCTGACGCCCTACTGACCCTGGAAGAAGACACTGAAGTCGAAGATTCTTGTGTTGGCGTTGCGAGGCAGCAGGCTGGCACTGCTGGCGGGGCTGGCGGAGCCCAGGGGGCCGCCCACCTCCCAGTACACCTGGCACTTGCCCAGGCGCTGCGCCCACAGGCTGCCTCCCTGCAGCTCCAGCCGCAACCCTGGCGCCACGTGCTGCAGTAGCTCCTCTGTGTAACGCAGCTGCTTCCTGTCCGAGAGCTCCGCGGGGCTGGGGAAGGCCACCAGCTGCGCGTCCTCAGCCTTGGCTGCCGGTCCCGGCGGGCCGTATAGGAACACGCAGCTCGAGCGCCCCACCACCTCCTGCAGCACTGGGCGGCCCTTGTACAGTATGGTCACCTCCAAGGTCAAGCCAGGCTCTGCAGATGTGCGCAGTGGGCAGGAGAGTAGCCGGTGGTGGGGCGCGGTTGGGGCCTGGTCCTGCCCGCGCCCCACCACCAGCCACTCACCTGCCCACGGCGCACAGGGGACGAGGGAGGGCTCGGTGTGAAGCCATTTGTCTGGCAGAGGATCCAGGGTGGATGGGTGGCCTGCATCTGAGGACCAAGAGCCCAAAGTTGACACCTGCTCCTCTAGCCCCGCCTGTCTTCTGCTTTCAGGGGAGGGTAAGGGAGGGGTGCCAGTGGGGGCCCTCCACTGCCCCAAGCCAGTACAATTCCCCAGGGGAGAGCTCGGGCAACCATGGGATAAAGCCCTACATCTCTGCTTATTGGGGTCCCAAGCCTTATCCCATTGGGACCCACAGCCACACACCTCACCACCCTGACCTCCCACCCCCCAGCACTCACCCTGAAAGACCCTGGCATGGGGCCCCGAGGACAGTCCCCTCTCCACCCCCACCCCTCACCAGGAGGTTGCTGGGGGGCTGGCTCCGCCCACCATGGAGATTTCGGCTGTTGGTCACCAAGATGGCTCTGCTGCGTGACCTGGTACAGGAGGTCCACGGTGCTAGCAGCCTCGGCCTGGGGTGGGGCACTCTCACCACCAGCATCTCCCAGGAATGTTCTGAGGGGCACTGACTGCAGGGAGGGCAGGGCCGGCATAAACGAGGCAGGCAGTCTACAGGAGGGGTTGTCCAGGGACCAGGTGAAGAGCGTGGGCTGAGGTGCCTTACCTGCATGGGCCAGCCAGCCGTGAGGGCCTCTTCCCTGCAGTTGCTGCCTTGGCCTTGGGGGAGAGGTATTGGGGCTAAGACTGGAGCCCGCCTTCTGGGTCTCCCCTGAGAAGACTTGGGAGCCAGGGTTGTTGACATCCACCCCCTCCCCACCCCTGTTTGGCCTTAGAGAAGATGAGAGGGACCTCTTGCCTGATCTGGCCCCGTCCTGGTCCCCACCCTGAGACTGCGCTGGGACCACCCTTCCTCTGCACCATCTGCTTGCAGGGGCCTCACCTCCCACTCCGGGAGTGCCCCTGAGGCCATACACCTTGTGCGGGTCCACGGGGTCCCCCGAGTTGTCCTGCAGCATCACGAACAGCCCCGTGCTGTGCAGGGCGCAGCGGAAGTTGGTTTTCCACCCTGCTCGTTCGGGGGCCTCTGGCGGTGGTGGGATGCCCGCGCAGATGCTGGGAGGCCACCGACCGCGGGCCACGGCCCAGGCCTGGAAGGGGAGGCACAGAGCATGGGCCCAGCGAACAGAGCACACAGGGCCTGGGCCGAACTGGCCCTCGATCCGGGCTCTAACCTTGAAGATGTGGGCGTCTGCTTCGTCTAGGTCCTTGCGTGCAAAGTGTTTCCAAGGCACGCGGAAGCGCGTGCGGGCCGCGTCTAGCCACCGCAGCCCCTCGTAGCGGCCGCTGCTAACCTCCCGCAGAAGCCACTCTCCGAACAGCAAGCGCGGGGTCTCCCTGTGGGCCGGATGGCCAGAAGGTCAGAGCCAAGCGGGAGACCCTTGAGTCGGCATGTGGAAACCGGCCAATCTCACCTCTCAGAAGACACAGCCATCATGCCCTCCACAAGAACGGAACAGTGACAGAACAGGTGTGGGATCGGATCGGGGTCACAGGTGTGGCTCAGGTGTTACAAATGTGAGTCGCACGTGTGGATTGGGGGCTTGTGGCCACCGACTTTGCCCAGGAGTGGATTTCTTGGCAAAGGTGGCTATAGGTGTGACTTCAAATGTCGCGAGTGGTTGACATGTGAAATCACAGGTGTTGAGCCAGCATCCAGGCTTGGACAGCGATCGCAAGCCGGACTCTGTGGAGACAAGATGGGCGGTGCCTAGTGCAGGAAGGGGGCGGGCACAGGCGCCTGAAAAACGAAACCAATAGGCTGCGGGGAAACGAAACCTACAAGAGGGGTGGGACGTCCCGTCTTCTCCGCCCCCAGCGCAGGTGTCCTTGCTCGGCCGTGACTTCGCCCCGTCCTCCCCGCACTGATCCTCGCCCCCGACCCACCCCATCCTCAGCCACGACCCCCCTCTCAGCACCGGGTCTTCACCACCGTCGCCCCTCTGACCCTCGGGCCCAGCCCTCCCTGTCCAGCCCTCCACCCACCCCCATCCTACGCGACCCTCCCTCCAGGTCCTCATTCCTCGAGCCCCAGCCCTCCCTGTCCCTGCCCCGGCCCGAC